CTCCAACTATATTACAAGAGAAGAAATGGAGCAAATGCTAAACACATATAAGCAGCAAATTATATCAGATGTGTCTGATTTGTACAACAACATGAAGACAATCATTATATCAGATATATCTCATTTACACAATAACTTGGAAACAACCATTGCAGAACAATCAAGTACTCAACAACGCCGATACGAAACAATTCTTCAACGCCAAGATCAATTGTTTGAACGACATCACAAAGTACAACAAGACTACAATGAAATCATGCAATCTAGAATGTATCCTGGACATAATTCTCTTCATCAAGATGCTACTGTCCATACGAGTCATGTTGTACAACATAAATCGACATCTCAACCACCTGAAGACACTACACAACAGGCAAGACAACAAATAGAAAAAGGGAAAAGAGCACAGTCTTCAATACCATCAATAACTTATCCTTTGGAAGACTATTCTATCAACAGATACTTCACACTTACAAATTGGATAACAAAAAATCCACCAGGGTAACTGCTCTAATTCTACTTTACTCTTTTACATACTGTTGAATTCATTTCATTCATCTCGAATTAAATAATAATTTTTTTTGCAGCGCATCTTTTGATAATGGATCTAAAAATACGTACAGAAGGAGCATAATAGAAGCTATGATGGACATCACACAACCTATAACTACTGATGTTAGTAAAATTGATTTACTATAATAAATTTAATTTCACATGTAATACACATTATTTATATCTATTTATTTTATCAGATTCTTGATTTGGAGTTCAACTTGTTGAGACGATTCATAAACGACAGTCCCACAATCATTTCAGAAGAATATGCAATCCTAGATTTCAACTATAAAATCGAGTGTACTCGCCAGATGATGACACAAATAGAAAATCTGGACACGAATACCATAAGCGGTGGACCAAATTTCCATATTCTGCAAGACTACGTCAATGGCAATTTGCCAGTAAATGGTCATCCATGGATGAAATGCAAGTACTTATTAATTCCATGTTCGTATCCAGAAAACAAATGCTATTTATATTGCGTGAACATTGACGAATGGAAAGTATACATATACGACTGCAGCAACACAGTTCATACACCAGAGGAAATTAAAGCACATGCAAAACCAACATACGCTATAACTATGCACCTATTAATGCATCCGAAATTCGCAGCCAACAGATGCTTCCTCAAGCAAAATACAAGCAGAGAAATAAGGTTAGAAATCATACCATATCAACCTTCCGCAAATAATGGATACGTATTTAAATTATTCGCTATGTACTATACCATTTCATTCTCCATTTACCGTAATTATACATTCAACGTACTAATTACATTTCATTTCCATTTATCTTTCCCATATGACAAATTGTGGAGTATTTTTACTTAAATACATAGAATGCTACGTTCGAGGTTACCCAATAGGGTCAATTTCTGCAAACAGAATGAATTTTTAAAGACGAAAGATTGCCACAAATATTTGCTTCAATGAATACTTCGCCCATCCTCATTGACTCTTACACTTGTGAATAATCATACTTGTGGAGAAGAAAGTATTTATGGCCAATTTTGCAGAAGGTTTGATAACTTCTAATAGTCATTTTACATTTCTTATTTTTACATTCAACCTAGCCTTCGTTCAATTCGTATGTCTTTTTATCAATTGTCTTATTTTTACTTTGTCCTTATTTTAATAAACGATATCTTGTGATTCCTGGTGTAACAGGATAACAAAGAGCATAGAATTATAGACAGTCATTTTATTTTTTTGCAATATAAGTTATAATTGGAACAAAAAATCAGGCGCTGTATTCTAATTAATTGATCTGAGCATAACACCAATTTTGGAAAATGAGATATCTGGTATTTTCAAGTCTGCTTAATAACACGTCAATTAGCTAAAGACTCTGTAGTTAGAGTTCAATTAGGATTATATATTTTTAGGGGGAAATCAACTTTGTTTTTTATTTTGTTTCTTTCCATGTTAGGGAGAGCCAACTTTCCATTTATTTGAATTTATTATGTGTGTCGACACAACATTCGCAAGAGCACTCGCGTAAAAAAGAAGACAATGATTTTGGTTCATATTCATAAAATACATTTGCTATTTTATTGCTTGGAGTTTATATGATTTTGAATTATCTAGCTGCTTCATGTTGATGGGTATGGCCTTTATCTTTTTCATTTTCCTTTTCAGGCCGATCTTAATCACGCAATGAACATAGTTGCATATTGTGCTTCGGTTTCAGAACCAGCACATGTTCAAGGCAAAACAGTCTAGAAGACATGGTTTTCATTACTTACAAAAAATTGTTAACATGACACATATTTATCGACTACTTCACATTTTCCAGCTATATTTACTGTATCAAGTTGTTTTCTAAAAGATATGGTTCTACGAAAGTAGCCTTTGACAATCCTGTATGCTTTTTGACTCTGTTTCATGTTGGTTTTGGATGCTGTGGAAGATTGTGTGGGGTTGAAAATGGAGGGAAATCCTGGAATAGTAGATGGGAGGTGAGCGTGTGCACTGTTGATTCAATCAATGGTGCCATTATCTCTACGTGGTGGCGGTGTTGGGAGGAATTTGACGGGGAGAGGAGCCACAGTGTTGGAAAGGTGGAAGAAAGTTTTTTATTTTTTGAAACTCACTGGAATACTTAGGTATATACTTGTTGCCACCTATTTGAAACTCACTGGAATACTTAAGTATATACTTCTTTTCAGCGCTAGCATTACCTTCAAAATTACATTGCCCGTGCATTGCACGGGCGACAAACTAGTATGATTAAAAGAGGAAATAGAGACCAAAGTGCACCAGAAATATTAAATTGCAGCAACTTGAGATACCTCACTGGGACTAAGATTATGGTTCCCAATCTTCTTATAACTTTATTTTAGACCTGATGCCCCGTTTGAGTCAAATTATTGTAGAATGAGAATGAAAAATATAGCCGTTATTAAGACCCACATAAGAGATAGAAAATTTGAATTTAAATATTGATGTGATGGATAATGGTCATATTTTTCATTTTAATGAGATAATAATGTAGATAAAACTGGGGCTAAATTAGGTCTAAAAATAGGAATCTTTCATTCTAAAATTAGGAGAGCCTAGAGATACAATCTTGAGGCATAATTATACGTCAAAATGCATTGAATCCTCAAGATATCTTAACTTGTGATTTGAAGGTTGAAGAACACAATGATTGAAAGATATTCAAGGTTTGAAGAAGAGATTGATGATCTATTGTTGGAAATTGGATGCCAAAGAACAAAAACCCCACAGCATGTTATTAGTAATTTAGAAGGTAAGTATGTTACGTTTGATTTTGGCTGAAATACAAGCCACCCCACAGCATAATCAGCATGTTTGGGTTGAATTTGAACTTATAATCTACCATCTTATAAGCCTACCCAAACATACTCTAATTAAATTATATTCTATTTTTGAATTAGAAAACAATGATATTTCGGTACAATTACATAAAAATATTCCGATTTAGTATTATCATCATTTGTTCAGTACCAGCGGGGTTCCCAATTAGCCACGCTCTGGTAGTCGTCATCAAAGAAGCTGCTGCTGCTTAAATTATCATATGGCTGCTGTGTGGTTAGGGTTTCTTGATACTGCAACATTTCTCCTGGAATGAATTCTGCAGAATTGGTAATTTCATAGGATTTCATATTCAAGATTTGTGCATGAGCCTTTGCCAACTCTGTTTGGAGCTCGATAACTTGCTTCTGAAGTTGACAAATGGCGCCGGCACAGCCGTAAACTGGATCTCTCAATCTTGCATTGGCTTCATAAACCATGCTGTCAACAGCATCGGCTCTTTGATTTTCAGGAACTCTCTGAAATATGAATTATATATTTGTGTTACCACCGGCATAGCTGGCTAAGCTTGAAAGGTTTCCTTTTAAGTTAATTTACTTATAAGTAAAAACGTAAAAAAAAAAATCAGTGCAAGTTAGAAATAAGCAAATAAAATATTTTGAATGTAAAGTAGGAGTTTCTGTCGAAAAATGCAAATATATTTACTTAAAAAAAAAAAGTTATCCAAACATGCTTGAGATGAAAAATTACTTAACAGTAACTTTAATTTTTTTTAGTTTTAGCCAAACTTGCTCTGTATCACTTAGAGGTTAATTCAAGACATTTAAAGAATTCAACCCTGTATGTTGGGAGAATTGTTGAAGACAATGTGGCATATATATCTCCAACAATTGAAACTTTAAATGAGATGGTTTAGTTTAAGTTCAAAACATAATTAAAAAATAATGAGATGTTATTTTTATAATTAATTCCTAATGCAGGATGACCAAATTAGCACTATAAAGCTACTTAAGTAATTCAAACACAAACGATATTAAATTATTCAAAAGTGAAAATAAAAGACCACGAAAAGGGAAACGAAAAGGGAGAAGAAGAAGAAGAAGAAGAAGAAGAAGAAGAAGAAGAAGAAGAAACCATAAAAAGAATCTCATGCACATACATACGTATACTCATCGTCTCCTGGCTCTGGTCTAGGGTTACTCACTTTCATACTAGACAAAAAAAAATCACAAGTGAAGAAGTATTTGCAGTCTTGTACGTAATTGTAAATATTTGGATAATTTTTTTTGGTATTAATTGAGCCTTTAATGTGGGGGTCTGAGAGAAAAACTGGGTTTGGGAGAAATCCAAGATGAATTTTCTTTTGATTCCATGCATACTCTCTCTATCTTTCTCAATGAGTTTTACTTTAATTTGCTTATCGCTTCGACTTCTTTTCTTGAATTATCTTCTTCAGAATTACTTATAAGACCAAACTTCCCTTTTTATTGACAAAATTTATTTTCTGCAGAGAAAAAGTGAAAATTTCAAACAAATTAAACAAGATTTCATGTATTTTCAGTGTGCATTAATTAATTATAACCTGCAATAACTTGATGATGTTACTAGCCCCAAATACTTTATGAGCCATGGCGAACTTCACTGGTTCACTCGGCGGAAAATAAGGCGCTAACACACATTTCTCAATACATCTTCGCCGTAGGATTTTGCATGCAGCACAAGGACTAACAATGACTTGTGGTGGAGGAGCAGAAGTTGTAGTGGCGGCAGCGGCGGTTCCCATGTATTCCATATTGTTGTTGAGAGGTGGAGGGTGTTGGTGCAGTTGTTTTGGTGTTAAGTTGGTACGTTGCATGTGCCAATGGAAAAAAAAAATAAACTTCTATTTATATGGAAAAAAACCCTAAGTGAAGTTACCGACGGTGACATGACGAAATATGATTCTTCTATTTTGTTTTTATATTTTACATCTGCCAATGAATGCATGCCAAGTATTTTTTGTAAACATTTTTTAGTCAATTTTGTTGTACTTATAGTATGATCGTATTTATATAACTATGACACTCGATTTTGCTCGTACTTATAGCATGGTTGTATTTATATAACTATGGGCTATGTGAAAAGGTGGATCAGTGAATGTCAAATCCCATGCACGATAAATACTTATTTAATATGTAACTAACTTTCCATTTTTGTAGTTAGGCCAATTTAAAAGTTGAAATGGTTGTGAAGCATAATAATTAAATGTCTATCTGAATAATCATTCTGATTAAGAACGTGGATATCCTTAACAATGAAGTCAATATTCATCTGTCAAAACTAGCTGGCATGCTCCCCATCCGTGCATGCGCACCGTCCTATGATCAATAAAAAATTTCATTTTTAATAATAAAAACTAGTCTTAAAAATAGTATCTTTGCGGTAAGGAGATAAATCAAATAATTATCAGCGTATAATAATGTAGATTTTTTTAATATAGTATCACTCCATTAAGCTCTAACGAGTAGTTTGATTCGATTAAAACTAAAAAATGAGCACATCATCTTCCAGAGACATGTTAAAAGATGTAATTATTAATAAATAAGAGTTGTGTCTACTTCTTTTAATAAGCTTAATATTTTAAGATGAAACTAAACCCCAAGTCTTAATATTAATAACAGTTTTATGGCCGAAATGGCCCAAATCGAACTTCTTATGACAAAAAAATTACTTTCATAGCGTGGAATATTCTTATTGAGCTTTTAGAGTGAAAACATAGAAGAACCGTTGGAGAATTTGCTTATCGAGTTTGTTATGGTTAAAAACGTTTGTAGTTACTTAGGGCTGTGGCACAATAATGGTCTAAACACAATGACAAAAAATTCAAATGATACAATTTCAAAACCATAAGATCAAAACCACTTTTAGCTATACACATGTTTTATCATCTCTTATTTTTGGTCAAGTCCGAGGTGTGCTTCTAATATATTCAAAAGCTGCGTCTAAACTGTCATCTTACCTATGTTGTGTGAATTTCTTTATACTTTTTGACCAAGCCTATGTTGTGTTTCACTTCTCCTCTCTTTCCTTTTCTGTTCTATTCGCCAACTATCATGTGCAGATATTAGGCACCGAAGAGCACTTCTTCTTTTCACATGACACGATAAAATCGTCAACAGCTAAACATATAATTTAAATTAGCAAAGATTGTATTAATGATATCATTTTATACGGCTGTTGTCTGGCAATTTATCCATAAGCATGTCTGTGTGCCAATTGTTTCGAGTTTGTTGACTTACGTAAGGGGATAAAGTTGCCTCGAGACACAACATCTCGAGGGACAAATTTGCAACCCGTGATAATAGGGTCCATCTTCTATTTTTGCTTTACTTCTTCTAGAAAAACTCTATAAGAAAATTACCTTAAGTTTTATAAGCTAATTTTGATTTCTCAAAAGTCAAGTGTCAAATGATAAAAGCTTAAGTCATTAAAAAAATGATAAAATTTATTCATATATCTGTACATAAAATCTCATAATGATACCATGTTAAATTAATTTATGAAGGAAATCTACACACCTGAAAACATAAGAAATTATATTTCTAAAATATTAATCTTCTACAGACAAGGATTAAGACATCAATCAAATATTCTACGTACTTGACTAGTCAAAACGAATCTGGCTTTAATTATCGACGAAGACGACAACCATAAGGAATAATTGGATCGACTTTTTCATATTGAAAATGGCTTTCAAAAGAAAATAATGAAACGTGTAGCTCGTTCTTTTCCTATTCCTCTATTGAAACAAAAGTCGTTTTTTTTTGTGGGGATTCACAGCTGGACTTCCGTTGTCCTATTTTTTTTTATTTTTTTTTCTGGATGATTCTATTGTCCATTTTTACTGTTAATAGCACATGAAAAAGTGGAGTTTACCAGGCCCTGTTATTTACTGTTTACACAAGTGATTTCGTTAGTTTTCTAATACAAGCCAATCTATTCATGTTAAGGACAAGCCTAACTCCAAATTAATCTTTCTTTTAAAAATAATGAGATATAATGAATTTTTTCTATGGCGCTTCAACCGTAAATGTTATCAACAATACACTGAAAGATTAAGAATACGTTTAACACGACTTTTGCTTTTAACTATCTTAATTTTTGTTTGAAAACTTAATTTTTAAATAAACTTTCTATTCTGGAAGTACTTTAAGAAGAAATCACATTAGATTAGTTTCCTCTAAAAGATCTTCAAACTAAAAAAAATACTTTATAAAAGTAATTATTGAATTTTAAAAGCTCATTTTAACTTTTTATACATGCAAAACACCAGATTAAAGAAATCGCCTTTGAATCTCTCACTTTCTTTTATTTTCTCTTTCTGGCTGCGCCTTTTTGCACTTCTCCTTTAGGGCTATTCCTTTAAATTCCTTTAAATTCATGTGGTTTCCTATTTGTTTGTACATAACTTTTATTAAATTATAATAGAGAGGGGAAATTTTGATATTTATAGATAGGTTAACTAATACTTAGCTAGACGAACTTTAATATTTTATCTTGAATTNAACCACACATTATCTATCAATTTACTATTTCAAAATACATTTTTTCAAAATAATGTAGCTCAAACACACCCTAATAATTTATCAGCAAAGTCAAAGTTATTCGCTAAAGTGGAATAAAAAATCACTTTAGATAAAATGTTGACAATACGTGTATGTCCGCATCACAATTCACACAATAGTGTGGTTGGATCTTCGTCATCCTTCAAATTTGCGTTTAAAAGAGTGAAACAAAATTTTCAATTCATATATTTTTGAATGCATATTTATGAAAGAATTAGGTGATTTTATTGACGTATGACATTGACATACATGCCACCCACCATTTCATTAATTTTAGGAAACAATCATATTTGGTGTGCATCATAGTGTACACCAAGTTGTTACATGACGGTGTGTTGTTACGTGACGCAATATAAAAAATAATGCACATGTAGTATGATTGTTAATTTTAACGTCCACATATATTACATTAGTTAAAGTGCTAGTTTTTTAAGATAAACTTATAGAGAATCTTAACGGTTTAAGATTCACTAAAATACAATTGTATTCCTTTAAATTCATGTGGTTTCCTATTTGTTTGTACATAACTTTTATTAAATTATAATAGAGAGGGGAAATTTTGATATTTATAGATAGGTTAACTAATACTTAGCTAGACGAACTTTAATATTTTATCTTGAATTTATGACTAGCAACATAATAATTGAACAAAATATGGATTAAATATTAAGAAAATTTATTAGTAAAATCAAAACTCCTAACTATTTGTTAATCAATTTTTTCACCATTAACCATTCATTCTATTATTATTAGTTTAGGTTGTTAGTTATTTTACATTAGATTAATCTAAAATTCCAAAATTTGTGTTCCGTGCTTAAGTTCCAAGTAGTTTATAGTTAACTAGTCCTCGTTAGAATGTTAACCTAAATTCCTCATATCCATTTTACTACTTGTATGTGAAATATGTTCTTGCGATGTTTGCAAAATCTATTCAAATAACTCATTTGTCGACCATATATTGATTGTTCAATAATGTCACTACAAATACAATCGAATCAATTATAAGATGTTGGAGCCAGGTAATGCTAGCAAAATATGCAAGCTCGATCGTGTTCACAAAATGTGAGTCGATACCAAAGCCTACATCTATTAGTAATCCTACAATATATCCTCTAAAATATCACCATTTGGTATTATAGATGAGCTCAGCATCATTATCTATCACTAAAACTATTTATTTGTCATGTGACTAAAAATGTTGGAAAAAAATAATTATTTTTCATGTGAGTCAACATATATAATAAATTGTGTATAAAAGTTATCTTAAAGTTGAGCCCAAAATGAAAGTGATCTAACATTTCATATAACATTTCATCATGGTCATCGAATTTCATATAACATTTCAACATTACCACCCAACTTCCTTTCATCATTTTCATTAATTTTAAAATGGGTAAAACGTTAACTTTACACTATATATAAAATAAATTTTTTAAAAAATTAAAATAAAAACCTATTTAAAAAAAATAAAAACTTATTTAAAAAACGTTACTTCAAAATTTAAAAAATATACATTTAAAAAAAGTTACTTAAAAAATAAAATAAAAACTTATTTAAAAAAATTACGTAAAAAATAAAATAAAATAAAATTCTATTTTTAAAAAAAGGTTCCTTAAAAGAAACCTTTTTTTTTTTTTTTTGAATGGTCTACTCGTTCATTCACAGTTGTTGGTCTTTGCAGACGTCCAATTTAGAATACATTGCTTACGCCACCTATATTTCTTTGAATGGAGACAAATAAAAAAGGTAAATGATAGTTTACATATATAAGATGGCATATTAATTAAGTCCCGATTTATTTTCATTTATAATGTGTGATAAAAAAATTGATAAAAGTTGCGAATAATTTTTTAAAGTGCAATAACACCATATTCTTCTGTCAAAGAGCCAATAAGCTACAAAGTGATATATGTCAATTAATATAATGTTAGCCTGCACAAGATCGTAGATGCGGCCAAAATGCAACGATAGTTTAGCACGCTCAATATTTGGCTACAAATTCAACCTTGTTCACTCATCATCACATGGGGTAATCATTTATACTTGGATGGATGCTATCTTAGTTGGACGTTTTTACGAATGTCAAGGTTATAGTCAACCTACAACAATGGGTCAAACAAGATTGGAAAAAAAAACATGTTTTGCTAGGCTTACTGTCCACGTTGTTCACTCACATCACGTGGGTATAAAATCATTTGAAGTTGGATACCCCATGTTACGAAATGTCAAGATTATGTTTATTAACTACGAA